CACCACTCCAGAACAACAACATCTCCTGGAAACGGTTTAGTCTGTGACCCGCGTCTCATCTCTTCAGAGGTGCCATGCCATTGGTCGGACAATCCAGTAAACGCGTTAACACTAAGCATTGCCTAAAAAATGAAGTTATAATCTAGGAAATGTATATAAGCTCCTACACTGCATGTTAAACTCAGAAAATAAAGATGACATTACTCATTTACATGTGATTAAAAGGCTACATGACGGATGTAAGTCGTACAGACACTGTGTAAACTAGAGACATAACGTACTCGGTGTAAATGAGGCGTTAGATATTGTGAGTTATCTGGATGGCGTTATGAAACTGTTGTTCTAAATTGAGCCAGTCTTTTGAACGGCTCTTTTGAAAGAACAGATCCCAAAGACTTGGCTCCCAGTAAAGAGCCGTAAATCCCATCACTATTACCCAGGTCTAAACAGATGCCATAAATGTACTGTTGCAATGGATAACATGTTAATACTTGTAAGTATTCTACCCGTTGGTTTTGCAGTTGAATACAAGTTGGTTTGAGTCTCAAGCAAATTCCCAGATGATGTTCCAGGAACCTCCATATCTGGCTGCACTGTTTCACTACCACAGAAAGTGCTGACAGATAAACATAAACAAAAGACAATGGAAGTACAAATAATTAATCTTCAAATCAACCTAATCAAATAATATTAAGTTTAAATTTTAGTAAAAGTAACATGAAAACAACTGAGGACATTAAAATGGCACTTACCTTTCAGCACAAATATTAGCATGAATAGCAAGCATTGAGATCAGAAATTCCTTTTGACAGATAGGACAAAACTACGGGAAGGAGAATAGTACATCTATTAATTATAAAATCTGATGTGTTTTCATCTTATTTCTGTATGAAAAAACAACCAACACAAAATTTAATTTGGAAAAGAATGAAGAGCACTTTTTATATTAGGATTAAAGGAAGTAATTACACATACTCCCTTCTCTTCTAAAGCATGACTTGGGTCACTGTCCTCAAGGATTACCACATCTGTCATTTTCTGTTGAGCAACAGCAAAGATATGTGTATTATCTAAATAAAAATGCAAGTAATGTTAGGTTTAAGAATTTTTTTTTACTTTGGTTGGTGGTTCGCAGCTGTCTGCATGTAAAGCCAACAACTGTAGCGGTATTGTGGTGCCACAAATGTGGCACGGTACCTGCGGCATTTTCGAAAATTCTGCAGCATCGAAAGGGAGGGGTTCAGTGTCCAACTCCTGTTGGAGAGGGACAATGAACAGGACATTTCTCCCATTATTGGATGCTGCACGCAGCTGCCGGCCATTATAGCCCTCCATGTCCATAGGGACAAGTGTTAACTTTCGTTGTCCATTTCCTCCTATGTATAAAACAAAAGCATACAAGCTAATGAAATACACAAACAACAGCACAGATCTGTGTGCAAAAAACATTACTCATTCATACCTGTAGATTTAAAAAACATCCACCGTCCCTGGAGAGGCTTCAGTTTGCTAAATGCTTTTTCAATTGCATTCACAATCTAAAAATCACAGGAAAAAGAATATAGGTAAACTGTATAACTTTAAAATACCCTAGTATTAAAGTACCCTAAAATCTGCCCAAAACCACATTTCAAACCTTGCTGTCAAACTGGGCAGTGCTGGAGAAGAAAAAGTGAGAGGGGGCGGAGTCTGAAGGTATAAGTATCAGTGTAATTGTTGGTCACAGGTATCTGCAACAAGTGTTTTTAACCAGACACACTTGGCTGTAATCAGGATAGTCCAGCATGATGTCACACAGAGAAACTACGAATGTTATCAGCCACTGCAGTGAAACACAGTAATTTTGGGACTATATTGGCCTGACAATGACTGAACAGTAGACATTGGGTGTGTTTCAGATGACCGGGTCAGATTCGTATCCAAGATGCACCCGCCTTGCTCTGACGCAACCTGTGCGACTGTGCCGGTATTCTCGTGAGAGCGAGGCGGCTGCAGCACCTTGGTGAGGCGGGCTAAGTTGCTCTTCACCGCCTTGCTTGGCTGCCTGAACTACAAAGGCCAAAGGGATTGTGGGAAATAAAGTGCAGTCAACACGTGCGTTGAAACGGACTGACGGGTGATTGGATCTGAGTTGTGTTTTGAACAGAAATGTGTCACTCTGACACTTCGCAGCCTCCTGCCTCCTTTTTCCTCATCACAGAGATCTACTTTGCAGAAATCAATCAATCAAACTTTATTTATATTTATAAAATGCTTCATTGACAGGAAATGCCAAGGATGAGTCCAACATATAACTTATATTTAAATAAGCAGAAGTTAATTATTCTAATCCTAAACTGTAAGAGGAGAGTCTATTTTTTTGCTCTGATGGTGAGGCCTCTGACTGTGGGAGAAGCAGAAATGCGTTCACAAACTTTTAAAATAGTTTTATTCACAAACTCTTCCTAACAAAACGTGAGACGCTGCGTGATCTGAGGCTCCTGTCTGTTCTCGGAGCCGTGATGCGTCTGCTTTGATTCAAGGCGCCTTCCTCCGCCCTCGGCCGCCAAAGCCTGGCCTCTCCCTGAATCGAGGCGAGGCGCACTTCATCTTAAACACACCTAATGCTATTTTCAACACCACAAACACAGTTTAGTAGCAAAAAAAGTTGATTTAGTGTTCAGAATCACTTTAATGACCTCTAGTATTTAATGTGGTGGATAAAGGAGCTGGTGGTGCAGATTAACAGCCTCACTTGAGTCAATCGGTCCAAGGGCAACTTTGGCTACAATAGAATATCTATCTACAATTAAATCCATGTCTGTGTAGAAAAATAGTACCTCTGTATGATTGCAGTCCTCTGGGAGAGAGAGTACTCTTCTCCCAAGGCCTGCTTGGGCCAGCTCCAGGTCTGCGGATGGCTTCGGGGTCAGACTTGTGGGTGCCGGCAAAACATAGATATTTAAATCTATGTTTCGCGCGACCATGGGTCGCGACGAAAACCGGCCTTTTCCCTTCTTGGATTCCCTTTGGGCAAACATATTTGGGAATTGCCTAAGTACATAAAAAAGTTAGTAATTACATCCTAGTATTAAAACAATCATGTTCAATATTGATAGCAATTATGAGCCAATTAGATTAAGTTGTTTTGTTGTAAAGGTGATACAGAAACATTAAGTTAAGCAATTAATCGCAAAAAATTGATTTTCGAAATAATCATCAATGCAATTAACATAACTATACTAAATTATATGTGCATAACATGTGCCGAGAGAATTCGTTTTGTGACTCATACAATGTGTTGTTTAGAAATGTCACTAGAAATATGTGAATGTTACTTGTTGTTATTATATAATTATTATGTTTTTGTGATAAAGTATGTTCTCATGCAGCATGTCTTCAGCTTTGACCAAACCCGACCAAAATATGACCTCTTTAGTCACATTTTGTAAACATCTCATTCACTGGACTAGCTAAAATTCTACCTTTTAAGTGCCTGTTGCACTCTTGCGGGATTGGCACTAGATGTAGGTGCGACTGTAGGTGCGACCGCTGGTGTGGTGGCTGTGGATGGACCAGGGTGAGGCCCTCAACGTATTGAGGAGGTCCTCCACCATTGCTTCCACCCTTTTCTGTAATTATAAGCAACACAATGAAAATGAAAACAGTGTAAAAATAATACTAATATGTTTCAATAATATACTACAACATTCTCAGATGCTCCATCTGACAGAGACTAAAAAAGGGAGCACAACTATAGTTCTGACCAAGCTAGCAAAAAGACCTGGAGATGTTTCTCCGAGCGCTCACTGCTCTTGAGTAGATGCCCCAGAGGCAATGCATGAATAGTCAAATGCATTTCCCCATGGAGACTTTAACCTTAGTTGAGCATTTATAGTTTAAAACCAGACTTCACACTGTCAGCCGCCAAAGATCGGTGGACATAATGGCAATAACACTGGTCCGGGGATGTTGACATAACAAAAGAAATCCTGACCATTTGAGAACCATTTTCCAGATATATTCTTAAGACTGTATTACCAGTCATAACATGAATGAAATATTATGGTCATGTCCATCTAGCAGCGCAAACCCTATGCAACAACATGTTAGCTGTGAAAGTTAGCTTCGTGTTGCCGTCAGTCTATCTATTACTACAACACTTTAAAAAGGGAATATTTTATATTTACGCTACAAAATGCACGACTTGTATTATTACTTGTCAACAGATATAAAACCAATTATGTTTGCGAGTTTTTACTTACAATTGAAGGCGGTTCACCACTGGCTGGCGCTTGCTGTCGTCCCGCCATGTTCAACCCATTGAATTAGAGCTCACGTGAAAACAACACTACCCCCAGTTGTTTGAAATGTGCAGGCCCGTCATCCCACTGCCCCCAAGCGGTCACGAAGGGAACTGTGCTGTTGCAAGAATAAATCTGGGAAAACCACGCGGCGGGATATTTGTGTCAAAAAGATCCTCGGCGAATCAAAGGCTGAATGCACGCGGTGAGTGATTCACAAATGCAGACTCAAACGCTCACATGCAAAACCAGAGATTTGCAAATACAATTAGATTTTATTTTCTAATGCGTGTTCAAAAAATTGCATGCAAAACTAACTTTTTGAATAAATCCGGATTTTGCGAGGATTGAAAACTGTGCATATATTTTTCATAAAAACGTGTGAAATTTGTCTCAAAAATATCCACATTCACAAAGAAGAAGATTTCACCCTGTAGGTGATTCACAAATGCAGATTCAAAATGCACATGCAAAGGCACAGATTCACAAACCAAAACATACGTTTTATTCACAGAAGCAGTGATTCACAAACCAAAACATACGTTTTATTCACAAATATATATGTGCAAATTATATTTTACGTGAATAAATCTAAGCACGCAAATTAGATATTATGGATAAATCTGGGATTTTGAATTAATTTATATTTTTGCATCAATGAATCAATATGACACAAATCTCACCCCATATGTTAGAGGTAAGTAAAGTGATAGTTACCATTACAGCAGGTCCCATTACACCACTCGGCCTGTTGTGTGGTTCCAGTCTTCTCGCATTCTGATTGGCCGATCCCGTAACATCTGCGACCCCTGAGCCTCACGCCCTCTCCACACAGAGTGGTGCACTGGGACCAGAGTGTCCAGCTGGACCAGGTGGGGGGCCTGCCCAGCACAACCACAAGCAAAGCCTCAACAGTTCATAGTAACAGTCTATTTACCATAATCCTGCATCATTTATTTGCAAAAGCCAGATCCCGTCAGACCTCTGCTGCTAAGTAGGACAGGGCCTGGTTAGTACTATGATGTGAGACCTTTCTCCCTTTCTGGGTATTTGCATGTTCTCCTTGTGTCTGCGTATGCTTCTTCCAGGTGCTCTGGTTTCCCCTACCACTAAAACTAAGCTCAATGACCAAGCCGAGCATCAACATCAGGAGATGGGTTCCCGGGCGCTGTTACTACGGCGACCACTGCTCCTGACGTAAGCTTTAGTGGCATCAGTATGGGTCAAATGCAGAGGAGGAATTTCCTACAGGGACAATAAAGTGCACATATACATTTCACAACTCTAGGATCTACAGCCTCACTCCATGGGATCGGATCTCTGTCTCAATGTGAACCACGCAGAGGTTTCTCCTTTTTTCCCTTTGGACAGCTGTGCGTGTGTGTGTGTGTGTGTGTGTGTGTGTGTTCGTGTGTGTGTGTGTGTGTGTGTGTGTATGTGTATGTGTGTGTGCTCAGACTGACCCGCAGGCGTGGCACTTGCCGTCCTCTGTCCTGTATCCGTACTTGGGGTTGAAACAGCAGGAGTCTGTGTCCACGTCTCCGATGTCGCCCTCACAGCTCAGAGAGGACGGGTCGAAGTGTGAGAAGCACCGCACTCCATCTGCAACAATTCACTTCCATTAATTCTTAATGTCGCCCCAAATCACAACAGCAGTTATCTCAGACGACTTTGCCAACACAGATCAGAGAATGCAATGTCACATAGAGCCATCGGTGTATAAGAGGCAGATGACCAGAAATGTCTTGTGTCTAGTTTGCAGAGGTGTGCAGAGAAGTAAGACCGGTACAATCCATTTTCATCCCCTTGATCCACTTCTAGATCGGGGATGGCTGATCTGCACTGATCTCTTAGCAGGGGTTTCAGGCAAAGTGGGGTTAAGTGTCTTGCCCAATGGAGGCAAGTCCTGGCCCAATAATGTCCATAATCACATGCGCTGACAAACTTGCAATACCACTACGGACCCGGAATAAGAATTATATATAAGGAGTATATATATTTTTGGACCAGTCTACGTTAGCTTCTGTGGAAGTAGACTGGCTTCTGAATGGGCCTCATACCGCTAACACATGTGCCCCTCCCACGGCCATTTTGAAACTGCCCATTGAAGGAGAAAGTGGTGGCACATTAGTTTCAACGGCGGAGATAGGTGTGATAGGTGTGACTCAATGGTTTAGCTCAGGGCCATAAAAACAGTAGACATGCAGTGGGAGTAGATGGGGATTTCTCGACTGTCAGGCCCGAAGACCAGGTGAACCCCTGTCGCATCTACTTTAACTCAAATTTTAGGAATGGGCACTTTGAAGGAGACACAACATGAGAAGAACACATGGTCCAGTGTGCCCAATTTAAATAAAGGAATCAATTATGGTTGGTCATGCTTCTAATTTCATTCATTCATCGTGGTTAGCCATGCTCTCAAGTTAATGTAATGGGGCTAGCCATGCTTCTAAATTTCAATCAATCAATCAATCAATCAAATTTTATTTATAAAGCGCTTTTCATACAAAAAGTGTAACACAAAGTGCTTTACAGTTTAGTTAAAAACAATCCAACATGCCCAGCCCTAAACCCTCCTCCCCACAGACCCCCCAAAATCACATTTATAATTATATATACAATACACACACCCACACACACACACACACCCACACACACACACACACACACACACACACATATACACAAGTATAAAGTCATATCAGGTAAAATAGGTAAAACAATAAAAAGAAATGGGGCTGGGAGCAGATGTAACCGGCTGAAGAAGCATCATCCAAGGAGCCATCTGCACCAGGAGCAGAGAGCCGGCTGCAGCCACAGGCAACGACACAGGACCCAGAGGAGAGAGGGGCCCCAGACCCCACCAGGCCCAGGACTCAGACCCCATAGGACCCAGAGGAGAGAGGAGGCCCCAGACCCCCACCGGATCCAAGAGCCAGTCCCCCGAAGCCACAGCAGACCCCAGCTCTCAGTGCAGAGGGCTCCTCCAGAGGAAACACTGGGGACACTAAAACAATACAATAATACAATAGAAAGTAGAACAATAGAATGTGAAAATAAAAAGAAAAATGGCAGCTGCCTAATATAATAACAATAGTAAATGGGTAGATACAATAAATAATTAAAAATAGTAAATAATAAAAATAAATAAAAATATAATCCGTCTAAAAACATAAATAGATGTACTAAAAAGCAATAATAGATAATAAATACTAATCAAAAGCTGCTCTAAAAAGGTGCGTCTTGAGCCTACTCTTAAAAATATGAACGTTCTCTGCGGCCCTGAGCTCCTCCGGCAGACTGTTCCAGAGACGGGGGCCGTAGTGCTGGAAAGATGCCTCGCCGTGAGTGTGTGTCCTGACTTTGGGGATGGTTAGGAGTCTGTTGCCGGAGGAGCGCAGGGGCCGGGAAGGCTCATAGGATAAAAGCAAATCTGAAAGATAAGAAGGCCCAAGACCATTAAGACATTTAAAAACCATTAAAAGAACCTTAAAATCGATCCTGAAACACACGGGGAGCCAATGCAGCGATTTTAAAACCGGTGTAATGTGGTCCCGCCCCCTGGTCTTAGTCAGGACACGTGCGGCCGAGTTTTGAAGTAATTGTAAACCTGAAATGTTCTTTTTGGGAAGACCAGAGAGCAGGGCATTACAGTAGTCAATGCGACTGGTGATAAAAGCATGCATCAGCGTCTCCGTGTTGGCCCGAGAGAGAATGGGGCGGACTCTGGCGATGTTCTTTAAATGATAAAAACCTATTTTTGTGATGTTCTTGATGTGAGGAATAAAAGTCAGCTCAGAGTCAAAGATTACGCCCAGGTTTTTCACTTGTGATGATGGATTAAAAGAGTGTGATTGGAGTTTCGGTAAAAGTTTCTCTCTCTGGGCCTCAGGACCGATGACTAAAACCTCAGTTTTGTCCTGGTTGAGCTGGAGAAAGTTTTCTGCCATCCAGGATTTCAGGTCTAAAATGCAGTTAAAAAGAGCATCCATTGGCCTGGTGTCATCAGGAGACATGGAGATGTACAGCTGTGTATCATCTGCATAACTGTGGAAGTCAATTCCATGTCTCCTGATGACACCGCCAAGAGGGAGCATGTACAGGTTAAAAAGGACTGGACCTAAAATGGAACCCTGGGGCACACCACATGTGATTTTATGGACCTGAGAGGAGCAGGTATCCAAACTTACCATGAAGGATCTGTCTGTTAAATAAGAAGTGAACCATTTGTGGACAGCACCAGAGAGGCCGAGGTGTTTCAGGCGGGATAAAAGAATGGTGTGGTCTACTGTATCAAAGGCAGCGCTTAGATCCAGTAGAACCAACACGGTCACCTTTTTAGAATCATAATTTAGTCTAAAATCATTTAAAATCTTTAAAAGAGCAGTCTCTGTGCTGTGGTTCACCCTAAATCCTGATTGAAATTTCTCTAAAATTTGCTGCTGATCTAAAAAGGCATTGAGCTGGGTAAAAACAAGTTTTTCTAAAATTTTGCTTAAAAATGGTAAGTTGGACACCGGTCTGTAGTTGTTAAGATCATTAAAATCTAAATTGCTCTTCTTCAGAAGGGGCCTCACCACAGCCGCTTTGAAGGCTGCAGGAAAGACCCCAGTCTGAAGAGAGCAATTCATCAGGTTTAAAAGCTCCTCTCTAAAAGATTCATAAAATGACTTAAAAAATGGAGTGGGGACTGGATCTAAAAGACATGTGGTGGGCCTCACTGAGGAGAAAACTTTATCAAGCATCTCAGCATCAACCAGGACAAAACTGTCCAGTGTTTCCTCTGGTGAAGACAAACAATCAGATGTGTTAAAAACAGTTGTGCGGTTGGATAAAATGTTACATCTGATTGTATTTATCTTCCCCATGAAGTGGACTGCAAAATCCTCACAGAGGGAGTCTGTGGGGGTTAAAAGAGACATGCTAAAATCAGGGTTTAAAATGGTGTCGATGGTTGAAAAGAGGATTTTTGGATTCTTTTTGTTCTGGCTGATTAGTTTTGCAAAGTAATTGTTCCTGTTTTTCCTGATTGTGTTGTTGTAAATTTGCTGTCGGTTTTTATATATTTCGTGATTGATTGTCGTTTTATTTTTTCTCCATCTTCGCTCTGCCACCCTGCACTGTCTTTTCATACTCCTTGCTTCCTCATTTTTCCAAGGGGCTATAGATTTTTGTTGAATGCTTACAATTTTTAATGGAGCAACCTGATCCAGTGTAGTTCTTAGTCTACTGTTAAAATCATCTGCTATAAAATCACAGGGGGCAGGTAAAACCAACTGAGGAGTGTTATTTAGAATGTCCATAAAAATTTGCAGCCACTTCAGGGGTTAGACGTCGTTTCTTCACAGTTCTCACAGAGGTCTCCTGTTTAACAAAACCAGTGATTTTAAAAAACACACAATAGTGGTCAGAGATAGCCAGGTCAACAACAGAGGACACACCCGCACTCAGGCCATAAGTAATGACCAGGTCGAGGGTGTGCCCTCTGTTGTGCGTCGGCTGTGTGACATGTTGAGTAAAATCCATGTAATTTAAAATACTTACAAACTCGCAGGTAAAATGGTCTGATGGGTTGTCAAAGTGGATGTTAAAATCACTGGTTAAAACAATCCTATTATAGGAATTGTATAACAAAGATAAAAACTCTGAAAATTCATTGATAAAACGGCTGCACTTTTTTGGTGGCCGATAGATGGTTACTGCTAAAATTTCGGGGCTGCTAAAAACAAGGGCATGATACTCAAAACTTGAGTATTTGTTAAAATTAATGGTTTTGGTGGCCAGGGTGTTTTTCCAAATTGAGGCTGTGCCACCACCTCTTCTTCCTTCTCTTGTTTTAAAAGCAAAGCTAAAATTGGGAGGGGAGGCCTCTGTGAGAACAGCCGGAGCATCCGGACCCAGCCAGGTCTCAGTTAAAAACATAGCATCCAGTTTGTGTTGTAAAATCAAATCATTAATGATAAAAGTTCTATTTAAAAGAGAGCGTACGTTTAAAAGAGCAAACCTGATGGTGGATGGAGAGTCATTTTTGTTTGTAGTGAGGGGAGAAGATGATGTGGAGGAGCAAAGGGCAACAGGGATGAGGGTGTTGAGGGACGGTTTCCGGAGTATGGACGGTCTGTAGGGGCGGGGTCTGGACAGAACTGAAATTCCTTGTTGGGGGGGGGGGGGGGGGGGGGGGGGGGGGGGGGGGGGGGGGGGCAGGGACTGATGTTGGAGTCCAGCGGGGCAGGAATGATGTGGGATGGAGTGATGGGTTGTCAGAGGTGCGGGGGACGGGATTGAACTGAGTGGGTGATGTTTGAAATCAGGTACCGGGTGCCGAGTTTATTGATATGGAGTCCATCGGGTGTGAAGAAGGGGTGGCGGTTCCAGAACAAATTAAAATTGTCAATAAAACCAAAGTTGTGCTGCTGTGATGATTTTTGAAGCCAAGTGGTGAGTGATAGTATCCTGGCTAAAACGTTCCACGCCCGGTTCAACGTGGGCAGAGGGCCAGAGATAAAAACACTTTTTCCGGTTTTTGATAAAAGGTTAAAAAAGGTCCTTAAAATGGAGTTTGGTGATTTCAGATTGGCGGAGTGCAGCATCATTTGTACCAACATGAATTATGATCCGGGTTATTGTGGGGGGGTGCTGTCTGTAGAAGTGCGGGTAGTTTAGTGAGGATGGTAGGGACAGTGGCTCCGGGAAAGCAGTGCGTGATGGCATTGAAGAACTTACAGTGTTTGATGATAGAGTCCCCCACCAGGAGTGTAGTTGGTGCGAATAGAGGTCGTGGAGGGGAGGGAGTGACTGGAGTAGGACCCGGGGGAGAGCAGGGGACAGGAGAGCGTTGGGATGCGCCCGGAGCAGAGCTGCTGCGAGCCCCGTGAGCTGCAGTGGAGCAGGAGGAGGGAGCCGGAGACCGAACCGGCGCCCCTGCAGCGGGGTTGGTGGTGGTGGTAGTGCGGGCGGTTGTGGGAGGGCCATGCACCGGGCGGAGAGATCCTCCAGCAGGCAAGACAGCCTCCGCGGGGGAGCTCCGCGCTGAGATAAAGCGCAGAGACCCCCCCGCGGGCGAGGCAGCAACTACGGGAGGACTCTGCGCCGCGGCACGGCGCAGGGACCCCCCCGCGAGCGATGCAGCGTCTACGGGAGGACTCCACGCCGTGTCAGGGCGCAGAGGTCCCCCCGCGGCCACCTCAGCGTAGGACCTGCTTTGTGTCTCGCCTCTGGGGATTCCCTCCGCGTCAGAGCGCACGGACCCTCCCACAGCAGGGACAGCGCTCCCGGGGGTATCCGGTGCCGCGTCGGGGCACAGAGATCCCCCCGGGGCTTCCCGCCAGTTGGTCCTGCGTGACACCCGGAGAGCCCCGCGCTGTTTTAGAGCGTGGGAAGCTCCCCGAGCGTCTGCGCACAGCCTCCTCCACCAACCTGCGGCGCGAGGACGCCGTGGATGTCGTGTGGCCTCCAGGCCTCTGCTCCACGCCGCTCTGGGTATGGGCAGCAGGCTCCGGGACCGTAGAGGAGGGAAGAGCACCAAGAGGGACAGCTGCAACCGGGGAGCGTGAGGTAAGCACCGGGGGGTAGAGCATGATGAGGGGTGAGGACAGGCGATTGGATCCCAGAGTGCAGTGTCGTGGAGCTGTGATTGTCTGAGTACGGAGAGGGATATTTGCTGTGACTGTTTGAATGATATGTCCATGAAATGTTCCAGAAGTTTCTCTTTATGTATGAGTTCGGTGGATAGTTCTTTGACAGTGCGCTGAAGTTCCTCGGGGGTCATGGTGTTAACAGGTTTGGATGGGAGGATTGAAGCCAGTTGTGATTTGTATATTTGTTTGTATGAGTTGGCGGGGGGAGCATCGGTGTCCATGGGCATGTGTGTGGGCAGGCTGGTTACCGGTAAAAGGCTGATAAACAGTCCTGTTAAAAGTGACAGTAATCCTTTTTTATGCAGTCTGTTAAAAT